AAATGCTGCAAAGCGTTTTGAGGCCGCTCAAAAAATTTCTTCTGGTCCACTGCTAATTTGACATTAACGATTAAACTTAAAATATTTCCTCACATGAAGAGAAATGAGAGGTTTGGAACAATGACACTCTCAAGCTAAAATAACCAAATGATTCAAACTTTCTGAAAATTTAATTCTATTTTATGATAATAGATAGAGCTTAAAAGAGAAATTATGAGAAAGCGATGTTAAGGACGTCGACCAGCTACGACGAAACTGGTATGGCTGTTATTTTCCTGTAACTACTAATACAAAATTAATGCATAATCAATAATTAGTGAACTCTTTTTTGCGTCTAGAATCTACGTATGATGGCAAAGATTTCAATGATGATTGAGGGGCTGTCTTTAAGCGAGAAAGGTTATAACCCATGTATAATGTACGTATCTTTCATCGCAAAAGCGCCCGTATAAATAGAAACAGTTTTAATCGGATTTAAAACCACGGTCTATAAGCTTTTGCGCTTTCTAACCATTGCTATGCCATTTAATGAACTGTTATTTTTTACGTTGAAATAATCAGCTTCTTCAGATTCGCCAGTCCGTTAGTACATTTAATAGCCTTTTACTTTGATGTGTATTTATATATGATTCATTTTCATCACAACATTCTAAATCAGTATTGTCCATCAACTGCTTTTTTTCAGGAATTAAAGTTCCAAAGAAGTAGAAAAATTTTAATATTTGAAAACTCCTTATTTATATTTGGACCAGAAATGTGGAATTTAATTTCTTCTGGATGTAACAAATTCAGCAACCTGATTTACTAATTTTCTGTATGTAATGATATTGATTAATTACTGAACAAAAATGATACCAATGATATTTCCCAAAAAGTAAACAAACATTTAACTACTCTGATATTTGATATTTGAACGTTGCAAAACAGGTCGCCTGATTATGAAACATCAGTGTTGAAAGTAATGATTCCAGTTTTATGTTTTATTTATTCGTGCGTAAAACCACAGACAGTGATCAAATAAAAGTTATTTAACAATCAATCTGCGCTTCTTGTTTTAGAGTGATAGCAGCTACTTAAAAGTACTTCTCTGTTAAAACGGCCATCACATAATCCTTTGACGACTTAGATTGGAAGAATGTTAAATTTGGAGAATAACATATGGTCTGCTTTAACAAGAAAGTGTCTATCTAAATTATTCGATAAACCATTGGATGAATTTACTTCTGAGAAATTAAAATCGTTGCAATGATTTAAGGCTACTGCCATTGCATCCACAAAAGATGGAAGCACAACCGAACTACACGCCATGGTCAAAGACGCTCGATGTGAGCTAAATTCAGTAAATTTTTGAATTATTTTTTACTGTAACACAGTAGCGAGTGTGATATCTTGAGATGACGTTCAGTCCGTTTTTCATAAGAGATGAAAAGTGTTCTTCGAAACGAAATTCCACTTTTATTTATACATATGTTTGTACGTTGTTTTTATACTTGTTTGCGAAGTAGCACTTGCAGAGAATAAAAGGAAAGAAGCAGAATAATGCAAAGTATTCTTAAAAAAAATCTCATTTAAGTACTCAAAACTTGTAGCATTTCTAACTACACAAAATGGATTCACAGATCACAAAATACGCAAAAGAATGAAGTTTATTGTATATTATGAATTATACATGTGCATATTCTTTAAGTGGTTACACATCGAGCCGATAACGTTATACGGTTATGAAAGGTTATGGAATAGGCTGCGGTTTAGAATTTGCTTCTAAATAATAATAAAGTAGCAGGTGAAAGCAGATCTAACATGGAATAATAAATTTTGTTAATATTGCCGCAGTTTATAGAGGACGTTGCGGGTCGCATGCGGTAACGGGTTCATAAGTTGGACATATACTTTACCCAAACACAGAACTATTTCAATACGCAAGATATTCAAAGCGGAAACACATGTTGACACACTCCGTAAATTAATTTTAGCGGAAGTAGAAATATTATTATTTTAAAGATTATTTTAACACTAGGTGCTTAGGCCAATCTATTACAAAGATATCTATCATTTTAACCCCGTTGATATATCATAGCTCTTTTGTTAAATGTATTAATATCAAGCGTAGGAAATTTTAAGAGGCTGATATTAATTTGATATTTGAACGTTGCAAAACAGGTCGCCTGATTATGAAACATCAGTGTTGAAATCTAACTTCCATTTCCTGTTTATCTATTTTTTACCTCTGGGAATTTAAATATTTAGAAATATTCTTGAAATAATAAACAATTTTTCGTCTTAATGCAATTTTATAAAAAAATTTTTATCCTTAGAAGAATCAGCCATTCTGTAAGTGATTATTTTAACTCAGAAGCCTGTAAAACTTTAGTAATGTTCATTCATCATCATTGATGTAGATTACATCATTGTACACAAGAAGCAAAATAACCATTTAGTCTCCATCATTATAAAGCTGATAGGCAAGCTGAAACTCCTATGATATCCATAACCATCAGAGACACAGACATTGTGTAAAGAATCTTTTATCCTTTCTTACTGCTTGTATTCGTTGTGTAATAGTAAGCATGTCTAGCTAGCAGACTTGAGGCTCAGATTTCGAATTCCAGAAAAGTCATTTTTTTTCCTTTTCCTTTATTTTAACTTTTCCTTTTCTGAAAATTTAAAAAATCATGTTTTTTCACGTTTCCTTTTCTGAAAATTTATAAATCACTGTAAAAATTGTTCGTGAACAAAAGTATAGTGGACGATAGTTCGTTAATGCCTACATTTGGCGATTGCGTTCCCATCCCCCAGTTTCTTTTAGCTAAGGAAGAATATAAGGAATTTTTTTTTCCTAATCACTGCCTACTTTTGGTAACTGGAAGCACAGCCAAGGTTCATAGTTCAAACCTCAGCGAAGACATAGCTGTTTTTTCATGTTTCCGGTTCCAAATACAACTACAAATGATTCTGTCAAATGTAAAATCTGAGACCCGCTTCAGTAGTACACAGGTTCATTATCTTGTTTCAAAATTAAAGTTTGTTCTTGAATTTGAGGTAAGAATGGCCATTAATACGTTTCCTTACTCCTTCCACCTCACATTAATTTCATCACTTTTAAATTAAATGGACTTCGGACCTCATCAGTCATAACATGGCGTTTTGATAGTGATCATTTCTATAAAAAAGAACAGTTTCGTCCATTATATTTGTGGTTATCCAAACAGATCCAAACAGAAATAAAAGTAACTTTCATAATGTATTTTTTTATTAATATATGAAGAGTAGACTTGTCTGAGATTTAAGATTTTGCGGACCCCAGCATTCTCAAAAATTGTGCCATTGATTTAGAAAATTGACTTTATATGCTCGGATAATGAAAACATGCTTGATTTGTAAAGCGTTTATTGGAAACAAAAGAAAACTGATGCACTGCATTTTATTTTTATACGGACATTTAAGAAAAGTAATTAAGTTATATTTCACTTTGTATTGTTTTACACTGCAAAGTGTCAGTATTTTTATTGCTAAGGAGTATTTTTAAATAATTTATAATAAAAGACTGAGAAAATTCCAAGAAAGAGGAATGGCTGTAAATAAGTATAATAAATAAATAATTTTGGAAATTATACACTCATTTACCTGGAATAATTGCTAATTCTTGTTTCGAAACAATGTGTTATGAATGTTAGTTTTATTTCGAAAACACTTATCTTGATCGTGAAATACAGTTACGTAAATTTTGCGTTAGACTGAATCATTATCTGAAAATATTTCCGTAGAGATCACAAAAACTGCTTAACTATGTCTGTCCGTCATCTAGTAATTAATATTTAAAAATAGCCATTCTTACCTCAAATTCAAGAACAAACTTTAATTTTGAAACAAGATAATGAACCTGTGTACTACTGAAGCGGGTCTCAGATTTTACATTTGACAGAATCATTTGTAGTTGTATTTGGAACCGGAAACATGAAAAAACAGCTATGTCTTCGCTGAGGTTTGAACTATGGACCTTGGCTGTGCTTCCAGTTACCAAAAGTAGGCAGTGATTAGGAAAAAAATATTCCTTATATTCTTCCTTAGCTAAAAGAAACTGGGGGATGGGAACGCAATCGCCAAATGTAGGCATTAACGAACTATCGTCCCCTATACTTTTGTTCACGAACAATTTTTACAGTGTTTTTACAGTGATTTATAAATTTTCAGAAAATGAAACGTGAAAAAACATGATTTTTTAAATTTTCAGAAAAAGAAAAGTTAAAATAAAGGAAAAGGAAAAAAATGACTTTTCTGGAATTCGAAATCTGAGCCTCAAGACTGCTAGCTAGACATGCTTACTATTACACAACGAATACAAGCAGTAAGAAAGGATAAAAAATTCTTTACACAATGTCTGTGTCTCTGATGGTCATGGATATCATAGGAGTTTCAGCTTGCCTATCAGCTTTATAATGATGGAGACTAAATGGTTATTTTGCTTCTTGTGTACAATGATGTAATCTACATCATGAAACTAAACAAATAGCTTTTTATTTGATAACGAAAGAAGTCAAGACACAATGTGGCATTCATATAATTTTCCTCGTATTAAATGCTGAAACGTTAAAAAACTATAAAGTACTTTTCCATGTCTTCTTAGAATTTTAAAGTTATTATTTAACTTAATAAAACGTTCTATACATTTAATAATAAATGATGATGAATGAACATTACTAAAGTTTTACAGGCTTCTGAGTTAAAATAATCACTTACAGAATGGCTGATTCTTCTAAGGATAATTTTTTTTTATAAAATTGCATTAAGACGAAAAATTGTTTATTATTTCAAGAATATTTCTAAATATTTAAATTCCCAGAGGTAAAAAATAAACAGGAAATGGAAGTTAGCGAGAATATTATTAATTAACTGAATTAAAACACTGCGAAGGGCACATATGATTAATTTTCTTTCTAAAATTCTAATGTCTTACTAAGTCGTTAAGCAATTGTAAATATTAATGATTTTATTTGTTTCAGAGACTTATCTGGAAACTTTTTGCCAGAAATCAGCCATTTCAATTTCACTGACTTGAGATTTTTACAAAGTTTGTAAGTATTTTGCATCTCTCTTATGCACTGTATTTAATTTGTGTAGCATTTGGAACCTCATAATTGCATTTGAATACACAAAATAACTAATAGATTAAAATTTGAAGCACTTTATGCATTATTTTTTAATTTTTGTTTTAAAAAAATATTATTTCAGAACAAAATATATGCGTATTACTAATATGAATTCAACACTGCAGCCGAATTTCCAAAATTTACAAAAGTTGTAAATTTTTTAGACGAGTTTTATTGGACTTACTGAAATATTTTACCTAAAATGTTTTTGTGTTTTAAGTGTACCATTTGATAACCCTCATTTTTTGTTATCTTTCTGCACCATAATTTCTGCGACAATAAAGGTTTTTTTCAGTAGTGGAAGAGATATTTTATACCATTTCTCTTGAACAGTTTACCAAAGTCCAAGGAGGGTTATAGGTTGACGTCTGGTCAATTCGCTTTTTAAAAGTCCAAAAGCGCAAAAATCCGTGAATGATTTAGTAGGAATATGAGTGAAGTCTATGGACATGATACACGTTCCTTGTTCCATTTTCCCCAGGAAATTAACAGTGAGAACTTTCTTTAGATTTTTTGAAGCATGATCTAAGACTTTTCCTTCTCTTTGATGATAATAAATGTATTTCTTCTTTTTATTGCGGCTAATTAAAAGTATTCAAGAATCATCTGTTTGTGACAATATTTTTATTCATTTTTGTCTGAATAATTGTTTCTCATAGAGAATTCTGCAGATCGTTCTGCTTTTGGCGATATGCCGTGGAGAAAGACGGTGCAGATTCTATATTTTCGCCTTTTTAAGATTCAAATCAGTATTAATCACTTTGTATAGATTTGACATTGATCATTTTAATGATTATACAACTGTCCTTTGAAGATTTTCTTTTAAGATTATAGGTCCTACTTATGCAGCATTCGAAACATTCTGTTTTTCCTCGAATATGTGTATTTTGAGCATTTTTTCTCCTTGAAGCCAAACTTTAACGTTCGTTTTTCTCTTATTGATAATATTATCTATCGTTGCTTTAGATTCCGAAAAGACATGACTTTCAAAGCATTTTTAATAACTAAATACGAATAATTTTCTTTGGAAAGAACACAAACATAGCCTTACGTTCATTGCTTCTTTAATAGAACCATTTTGCAAGATAACAAATTGCCAAATAGCAGACGGTAATTTACACTTTCGAAAATATAGTCGAAGTTAGAAACAATTTTCCAAGCCCGCAATTTTTTATAAGAAATCAAAATCGTCTAAAACTTGTGTGAACGGCTTCTATTATAACCAGCGTTTTGCAGCGGAGTACACAAGGATATAGAATGACTGGCTATAATTTTAACATTTTCAGGAACTATTCAGTAATATCTGATGTAGAAGTTATAATGTTTTTTTACACTATATTGAAATAATTCGATTTTCATATTGACCACAAGCTTGATTATGCAGTGTTTTATAGCGGGGTAATTTCTACACTGGAGATATTTCGCTAAAGTATATTATTAGAATGACTTTAATCAGTTTATCATCGATGAAACTGATTTTATCGATGATAAACTGATTACTGGTTTTCAGCATTGTAAATTTTCCTTTATAATATTGGGTCTCATTTACGTATTTAATTATAATTATCGTATTAACCACTTCACCCGTCTTACGAAACTCAAGTATTTGCTTCTTTTTTTTTAGTCTTTTGCATTGCAAAAAACTTTTTGTATCTGATGGTCTGGTTTTGTTTATCTGTACGGCAAAGCATTCGGGAGTTATCTACCTAAGGGGAGGAATGCCTTCGTGGAGGACTTTTAATAGGAATCTGGCTCGTATACACGGTACATGGGAAAAAACACGAAATGCATATGGGAAAAACCACCAAAATACCCATTCAGCCAGCTCGTTTTGCATCTAAAACTGACCTTCGAAGTAATTTTTTCCCCATTTCACCAGCTGTTAAGACCCTATTTAAAAAACCGCATACTCGTCTCATTACACAACAGAAAAATTTTCTTTCTTTTCGCTAGTCTCTTTTGTTTAAAATTAACAAAGAAATGGTAGGCTGGAAGTGCAGTAAAAATAACAAAGAAAGGGCAGGCTGGAAGTGCATTCCTGTTCCTTTATCTTTGTAAGCGAATTTTGTGCTATCTTGATAAAACGCAGTTGCGGAGTTTCGCACCAACCACCTAATTTCATTTTCGCTACGTTATGGGGAGTGGAAAACACGAAGTCAATTGCATCGGAAGTAGCGATTTATGTCACATTGAACACCAAAGAGTGTGTGACATTGTCAACGCCTGACAACAATTTTCAAAACGGCGAGTCCCTCTCGGGAGAAGCGGTAAAATAGTTAAATTACGATAAAATAGATGCTTGTTATCCAAATAAAACTAACATAGGCAGAGCCTTTTTCGAAAAAATAGTCTCAGTCACCTGCTCCCGTTTTAACCTATAATTCTTCCACTAAAATATGCTATACTTAAATGCACGTGAACATTACTATTAAGAAATTACTAAAATGAAACACAATATTATAAAGGAAAATTTACAATGCTGAAAAGCAGTAATCAGTTTATCATCGATAAAATCCATTTTATGAACAAATAGAAGATTCAAGCTATATGCGTCATATAGCCATGTAATATGAAGTTTAGAATGTATAACTAAATATCGATGACCTATCTATCTTTCAGAATTTGTAATAACGCTGGTGTGGCTGAGTTGGGAGAGATGGTGTTCTACAAGTTCACAGCTCTAACATTTCTGTGAGTATAACATACATTCTACTTTCAAAAATGGCTAAAATCTGTTGATTCATTTCTGTTATGAAATTTATTAATTTTGTGTGATATGGTAAACTATGAAAGAATTATTCACAATAGTCAATTACATTGAAAAATTGATCTTGTACTACTAACCCTCATGTTGTCACAACTGGTGTGCATTTTTAGAAGTAAAGTGCAACAGCGCTTAAAACCCATCTAACAAATAAAACATGATATAGTGTTCAACGTCAAGCATTTTTCTGAATCAGATTCGAAAGATTCATCGGCGATCATCGAGAAATCACCACTGCATATTTTTTCACCATCAATGCAAAATCTACCTTCTGAATCATTAGAAAATCTTTAAATATCTTGCTTGTGCCTAGTTATTTACAATCAAGAATACGCAATGGGAGGAATAAGAATGAGTCATAAACAAATCTGATTTTAATTTTCCATATGTAATAATTTAATTTCGTTAAATGTTTTTACATGTATCACTGAATACTCTATTCATCAAGTATCTTAAGTAAAGCAACGCAGCAATGTTATTAAACTGAGGAAAATTAAAATAATGATATGTTCAAAAATAGAATAATAGTACAAATAAAACCTTCTAATAGTGCCTACTATGTTTAAAGACTGACTACATAAAAATCGAAATTTTATAAACAGCTTTTGTCACTATTTAAACTTCTACAGACTTTTTTCCCTACTCATGGAATCTGTCTAATGGGCCGTTAAGGCATTAAATCTGGCGAATAAGATGGTTTATTAGGATTTAGTTCACTTTTGTTTGTCACATAAGTGCATTGTTCAAAGAAAACTTTTGTTTCTTGCTGTTCAGCTATTGAATCTATAACAGAGGGTTTCGCCTAAATGCAATCAAACAACTTATTCCATTCAATCTTCATTTCCTAAGCTGACAGTATTTTAAGAAAAATAATTTGAATTAGAATCATTGCCTCTAGCTATATAATGGAAACTGAATAGGGATGAGCTAAAAAATGTAGTTTCAAAACATTGCAGTTAAATGGCTATAAAGAAAATTTTTCTCTGAAATATGCTAACAGTGTACATAGAAAAGTTAATATCATTATTCAAAAAGTCCATTACGTGTGCAAATAAGTATCTGATGAAAGGAAAAGTGAAATTTTTAAACGCAGATATAAAAAATGAAATTATTCATGATTTAGTCGTGGCAATGATTAGTACAGAATATGCCATTATACACATGAATACCGCAGAATATATATTTCTATATACTATATACGTACATCTCGTTCTCTATCTACATATCTATCTATCTATCTATCTATCTATCTATCTATCTATCTATCTATCTATCTATATATATATATGTGAATGTGCGTAGGGAAAACTATCTGCTTAATTAAACTAATGCTTAATTTTAATTTGAGTATTTCCCTTTTATATTCTAAGAATAGTAATATTTTACCCCCCTGCACTGCATCATTTCGAGACTAATCCATAACATATGACTCTTGTATAACGCTGGTGACACAAATGGAACTAAAACTCAAACAGCCAATAATAATTTTACAGCATAATTAATTATTCAATCAAATGCATTGAAACCGAAATTAACTTATTCTCAATTAAGTTTTCATCCTGAACACAAAGAACTTGCTTTCTGTACCTAATATATACCAGAAATATGTGAAAATACCTTTCCAATACGATCTGCAAAACCTTACTTTCATATAAATTGGTGGACTAAAGAGTTACGCGCTCAAAAGCATAAGGCGAGAGCACTGAAACCGAAAATGAAATCGATTACTGACGATGAATTAAGACACCAAGCCTGGCTCAAATTCAAAAAAGAAAATGCAAACTACAAAAAAATGATTCTCGAATCTAAATTAAAAAAGTTGGCACAAATATTGTTCAAAAAATAAAGAAATTTATGGCACCTCATACAAGATCGCCAGTAGTAAAATATTTAAACCGTCGCAAATCCAACTTCCCTCAAATTTTCTTTCAAGTTCTGCTGAAATTTAGGATGCCACTCTCTCAACCCTGAATGATATTTTTGACTCTCTTCCTGAAAGATGATCCAGCTGAAGATTCGCCTACTCAAACCAAAATCCATAACTGCAATGACATTCCACAAACAGACAACGATATTCCATTCTCAAAACAAGAAATAAAAGTTTCAAATAATTCGTAAAAACCTAGCTTTAAAAAAGGCACCAGGCCCAGATGGCATCGATAACCACATTATAAAATTAATCAATCAAGCCCATCCTGACATAATCTGTAGTTTTTGCAATCAATGTATAGAGCTCTCTACCTTTTCCTGATTGCCTGAAAATTGGTAATATAATACTCTTCAATAAGAACAAGATTAAATCTCCGATGAACCTAAATCTTATCGTCCGATAAATCTTCTCCCAGCCCTAGGAAAAGTTTTGGAAAGATTGTCTTATTGGTTCGTCCTAAAACTTCATGTTTACAGCAAAAACTTAAGTAAGCAATAACCAGTTTGGATTTCGGAAGCCTACTTTCAACAAGTCATGCAATTAAATTCAGCTCTTGAAAAAGTCAGAAACAATAAATCAACCAACTTCATTCTGCAATAATATGTCTCGACTTAAAATCAGCTTTTGATTCTTTATGGTGGCCAGCAGTTTTACAAGCGCAGCGTTCCTTTAAGTGCCCTCAAAATTTATTTCTAATTATTCAAGATTACTTCAGAAACAGGAAAAGTATGATTCTTTACAACAACTGTAAAATTGTGCGTAATCAAGTCCGAGGATGTCCTCAGGGGTCTTGCATGAGTGCAGATTTCTGGAATATCAGCTTCAACAACATCATTGCCTATCCATGGCCAGATCACTCAAAAATTGTAGCTTTTGCGAATGATGTAGCTTTTATTACAAGCGGCCGTAACAGAGACATTTTACAGAATAATTGCAACGAAGCACTCCAGTTATTTAACCAACTTTCAAAAACTACAAATTTCACATAGTAATTCCCAAGTCTTAGTGATCCATAAACCAGGACAAAATATAACTAAAGCTTTAGCTCTAAAAATTGACAATCAAAAGATCAAATCTGTGAAAACAATTAAGTACCTCGGTTTAACAATCGACAAGAAATTCTCCTGGATTCCTCATCTACAAAATATTAAACTTCGTACAACTTCAATAGCTAACTGCCTACGACGTATGCATGGATATAACTGGGGCTTAAATCCCCATATAATACGTATTCTTCTAAAAACAGTCATCTCAAAAATGGTAAATTACGGAGCCGGAATTTGGGCACAACCAACGACAGTGAGAAAGATGAAATGTTTAAATTCAATTCAAAGGCCTTTTACTTTTTGCATTACTCGGGCGTATCGCACAACTTCAAATATAGCACTTGATAGTCTAGCTGGTACTCTTCCGCTATCAATCAGTGCAGAAATGAAATGCACCTATATGAAAGTCCTTCAACTTAACCAAGCCGCAGAATTCAACAACCAAATCTTTTGGCCATCCAACTATGAAAAGAAAATTAACCCCAATCAACCCCAACGTATCGCACAACTTCAAATATAGCACTTCATACTCTAGCTGGTACTCTTCCGTTATCAATCAGTGCAGAAATGCAATGCACCTATATGAAAGTTCTCCAACTTAACCAAGCCGCAGAATTCAACAACCAAATCTTTTGGCCATCCAACTATAAAAAGAAAATTAACCCCAATCTTATCCATCCAGCGCTTCGCTTCAGCAAAATAATATTCCCCACGTCTGAAGAAAATTTAAGTTCATCTCCAATTGCTTATACTGATGGATCAAAGATTGAAGGAAAAGTTGGTTCCATAGTCGTTTTTCAAATTACCCCCTCAAATATCATCAAATGGAAAGGCCATCTCCATAATAATAATAGTGTTTTCCAAGCGGAATTGTCAGCTATAAAAGCAGCGATTGAAATAGCCATTCTCAAAAATCTCAACGAATTTTGCATAAAATCTGACTCCCAAGCAGCTATTCTAGCTATTAAAAATCCCTTACCTTCCTCTTCATTGATATCCGACATAAATTCTCTTCTTGGCAAAATCCCAAACTACAAAATTCAAATTTCATGGATCAAAGGACATAGTGGCCATTTTGGTAATGATCAGGCAGATGAACTAGCCAAAGAAGCAGCTATTAATCAAGATGGTACTGAAATCATTATTCCGCGGCCTCGCTCAAATTTCAAGTACCAACTAAAAGAACTTGCTTCAAAATCTTGGCAAGATTTGTGGAACAATGCTCCATAGGGAAGAAGCACATATAACTTGATGCCCAATGTAAGCTTCGCATCTCTGAACTTGAATCCTTCCTTAAATTACTTTATAACAGGACATGGGCCCTTCCCCACATATTTCTACGCAAGAAATTTGGCAAATTCTGATATCTGTATATTTGGGGAACAGGGAACTCCTGATCACTACGTTTTCTCATGCCCCTTAACTGAGGATATTCACATAAAATCCCCAAGAACTGACCTCCTGGCATTCCAAAGGTTTATAATTAAAGATAAACATCAATATCCAAAGTTTCAGAAAATTATGCAACGACTCTCTTCCTACGGCCTAGATCTCTGTCAAGTCCACATACAGTTTAAACTTGGTGAACTTTTGACAAAATGGATCCGCTCGTGAACTTTATAAACTGCAATAAACCAATATATCTGAAATAACCCATGGACACCCACCTCTTTAGCATTATTATAACAATTCATTTAACATTGTGTTGCCAGTACTAATTATAATTATCTCATTATGTTTATTTGTTTATTAATTATGTTTATCTCCTATTTTTGTTGCACCAAATCAGAAGTTCAATTTATCTTGTGAATCTCAAATTGCATTCCCATTATTTTGTAATCAACTTATGCCCTACACCAAAAATTTTTAATAAATACTGGATGCGGAGCGTACTGTGGAATTGCACGATGTACCATAATAGGCAAACTTTAGACCTTTTGAAAAGCTTCAG